GAAGTTGAGAGGTAGGGACTGTTATTATCCCCATTTTATAGTTGAGGAAACTGAGGCAAACAGAAGTTGAGAGGTAGGTACTATTATTCTAATTTTACACTTGAGGAAACTGAGGCAAATGGGGTTAAGTGACTGACCCAGGGTCACACAGCTATAAGTGCCTGAGGCCAGATTTGAAGTGAAGTCTTCCTGACGCCAGTCCCAGCACTCTGTCAACTGAGCTCATGGCTGCCTGGTGGCTAGTGGCCAACCCTCTGCTTTTGATCCTTTTCTAACTTAGCTAGGCTAGTCCTTGAATGTCAGAAGTACTGTCGATGCCCAGCATCATAGTTGACATACTTCCAGTTTGGCAGAAACTTCCAGTATATGTACTTCTCTGGTATAAATCTCAAGATCCCAGGGTCATCTCCACACCATAATGAAGCATTGGAGAGAGACTTTGGTAGAGGTGCATGTAGAAAGTACTTACTATCTGTTGATGAGATGAAAACCTATCCAAGAGGATCATAGAACTATAGGTAGAAGCAATCTCTGAAGATGACTAATACAGTCACCTCATTTTACAGATGAGGAAACTGAGGCTCAGGATTCTACCCAAGTTCACGTGGTAGTAATCATCAGAGGGGAGATTGGAGCCCACATCTTCTAACTCCAGTAAGAGTCCTCTTTCCACTTTCCAGGGCTACTTCCCTTAACTTTTTCAAGCACTTTGGACATGTTCATTTAACACATGAGCTATTAACACCCTAATTGCAAACCATTCTTGTTTATTACTTTGAACAAGTCCATAACTTCCACTTGCTAATTGTTTGATAATCAAACTGGTGCTTCTATTGATATGAAGAGGCATTTTTACATAGTAGAGGACTTAATTTCAGATCCCACTTCTTTTTTTAATATTTACTTAATATTTTATTTTCCCCCAATTACATGTAAAAACAATTTTTAACATTCATTTTTTAAAACATTTTGAGTTCTCAGATCCCGCTTCTAACACATGTGACTTCAGTCAAGTCTTCCTAGCCTTCAGTTTTCTCGTCTGTAAAATGAGGGGATTGAACTATATTGGCCTCAGAATTCTAGGTCTATGTTCCTATGACCTAAAAGTTTGAAAAGATAAATGTATTTGAAAATGTAAGCCTGTTGCTCATTCAGATGGCTTTTATCTCCCCTTAGGCTGAATGAGGAGGGTTTTCTCAACTGAAAACACACCATACAGTGAGTAGAAATACATTTCCTGCCCTTCCGGTCATACTCACGGGTTTGAGATAGGCGACATTACTGTGCCTGATGTCATTCAGTAGCTGGTCTCGAGGTGTGATTTCCACTAGAGGTGGAGGCCTGACCCTAGGCACAGGCTTGAGGGTTTTGATGACATCTTTGAGGTTGGTTTTTTCAGCCGACTCTTGGGCTTCCGGGGGCATTCGGGATTTGCGTTGGGTTCTCTTCAGTTTGACCACTTTAAAGGAGTTCGGATCAGTTCTGTACCGTTCAGGCTGACTGGGCTTCTTGCCGATTTCATTTCTCTGACTACGGCCATAGCGGGGCATTTGGGAGACGGGCACCTGAGGAGCCTGCAGTAATTCATGCATTCTTGGATCTGGCATTGGGCCTCCTAGCATCTCCCACATCCCAGGAGGCAACCCCAGCCCGTTTTCCAACATGGCTATTAACTTCTTCTGCTCTCGAAGCTGCTGTTGTTTTTGCTCTTCTTGTCTTTTCTGTCTCTGTTTATCCAGATTTCTGGTAAGCAAATTGGTGACCACCATCCTAGGACCAGGAAGCTCAAAATGGTAGCCCATCTTCAGGAGTGTATTGTTCGCCTTCAGGAGCCTTGATATCTCCATTTCTGCGTGGTGGCCCAGCATATGTCTTTGGTTGTGAAAGCGAAGCTCTGTTAATGTTTCATTAAACTGGAGACACCTCATGATGGCGACAATGCCTTTGCCCGTAATGTAATTGGACTCAATATTGAGAGTAGTGATGCTTCTATTTTCACGTAGCATGTTGGCCAAAGCGAAGGCAACATTTTCATCTGCGCCCACGTTGGCTAAGCTAAAGGTTTTGATGTGTTTGTTTTTCTTCATGGCATTAACAAAGTCCAATAACATCTCTTTGGGTATGTTTTCAATGTTATTCAGGTTGAGTTCTTTCATTTCTGGATCATTTTTGCGCACCCGCTTCAAACTCTCATCAAGATTTGTCTGGTTTCCTGAAGGTCTGGCGCTCACTTTCATAAAACTGGTATCCAGGGCCAATTTCTTGGGATCCAATTTTGAGATTTTGTTTTCACTTTTTTCTAGGGATATAGGGCTCTCTCTTGCCTCTGCAAAAAGTTTTGTCAGTAAATTTAAGCTGCTTTTATTTTCCTCTCTCTGTTTTTCCCTGGCTTTCTTTTCCTCATCTTCTTTAGTGCTGCTGTCAATCTCTTTTCCACCATCCTCTTCATCTTCATTTTCATCATCTTCATCCTCACCTTCATCGTCCTCATCACCTTCATCGTCCTCTTCACCTCCATCATCCTCTTTTGTTTCTTGAATCCTTTCGGTGCTGTTTGACTTGGTTTCATTCTTTTCATTTTCTTTATTGAGTTTCATCATTAAAGCCCCCGATACATTTGTATTATCCTTGTCTGTTTCTTCATGAACCTCTGCAGTGTTTTCCTGTAAGAGAAATGATTAAGCACTGAAATATAATTTGATTCACATCATGCAAGAAATTTGTTCTATCTCTATCCTCAATGCCCAGCACAATGTCTGGCACATAGTAGGAACAAAATAAATATTTTATAATTAATTAACTTTATTCTTCCTAGGTTCTTTCAAAAATAACATTGCATTCATCCCAAATCACCAAAACAATTAGAGTCTTTTGTTTAAAAAAAAAGAACAAAATTATAAATCTGCATAGGAACAAATAGAAGTCTTCAAGTAGGTGTTCCTGTATTTAAAACATATCTGTTCTTCACAATGCTCACATAAAAATTTATTATTAAAGTGCAATGTTAAAGTGCTATATTCTGTAAATGTCAGTTATCATTATTCTCATTTTTTTCAATGGAAATCAGATAGAAATAAATCTGGGACAAATTGCTATCTTGCCCTTACTCTTTTATATTTTATGTTCTATCCAGATGGATAAAATATTATGCTGTTCACGGATTTAAAGCTAAAAGTGACTTTTAGAGACCCTCATTTTATAGATGAGGAAACTGCAACCATACAAAAGGCCACATGAGTAATGTGAGAGGTGGGGTTTGAACCCACGTGCTTCAAAACCAATGTTTTTTCTACTGTACTGCATGGTCTTCTACCAAAGCTAAATTATGGATTCTTCAGAAACACCCCCATTTTCTAGTTCTACATTTAAATTAAATTTTCAGGCGCTACACTATTTTTTTGGATGATATAACAACATGTTTCAATTTTGGAATGCAATAGAATCTTGGAGACAAACTTTAGCCACTCAGATCTATGAGAACTAACTTGACTCTTCCTTGATGACTGTCTCTAATTCAATTCCTCTTCAATGGAGGTAGTTAGGGAGGCAGATCAAAGCTACAAAAGAAATAAGGAGATAGCACTGGAATCTTAGGGAGATATTTGGAAACAGTTGATTAGGATGGTAGGGGAAAGGTTTCTTGCTCTAAAGCAGCGTAATATATCAAAAAGAGCATGAAATTTGGAGTCAGGGGACCTTATGTTTGAACCCTGGCTTTGTTACCTACAGCTTATACAACCTTGAACAAGTTATGTAATAGCCCTGGGTTTCACATTCCTCATATATACAGTGAGGGCATTGAGGTAGATGATCCCTGAGGACCTCCAGCTCTAAAACCTTTGAAATATTAGTAATGATACTAATTTGGTTTGTATTTTGAACAATGAATTAAGAAGCCCTTTCCTATGCCTTACACCACACACTCACAGTTTTTAGAAAGATAATCTGTGATACTGACCTCATTTAGATGAGAGTTTGATTTCACTGTGAAGGGCTTATTATAGACTAGAACGTTAATAGTTGACTAATGTATGTGAAATGACATTCACAGTCACATTTTTATTGGCTCCAGCAGGGGGTGCTGTTAGTCAAGTTGTTGAAATTGTGGTGAGAAACTTTAAAAAAAAAACAAACCAAAAACGCAGAAGACAACTTATGAGGGTTTTAGGACAGAGGGGCTGTTAGTTCCTGGACCATGAATGGTAAAAGTGTGTATAGAATCCTTTGACAGCATGTAATGCGACCTGGGGCCATGTTTGTCTTGGAAAAGTCATGCTGTGGGACTCATCGAATATAAAGTGTGTACTCCACTGACAAGGAAACCCGTTTACAATCATCTTGAATTACAAGCAGCCCCATCACAGGGTCACAAGGTGTGTCTGTGTCTGCTAGTGAGACTCTAAGTTACTTTATCTGAAGGTCCTTTCATTAATTCAGCCAATCATTTATGAGTCATATATGAAACAAATCTTTGGACTCAGGAGGTGGATTAATTCACATTCAAGTTACTGAGTAAAATCATTTTATTGGAACTAACATGGTATAGTAGAAAAAGCTCTGACAGCTTACTAGGTTTGTGATCTTGTGTAAGTCATTTAACCTTTATTTTTGCCTCAGTTTCCTAAACTATAAAATGTGTGTGTGTTGGGGGGAGGGGGCGTAATTAATAGCACCTGCCTCTTAGGGTTGTGATGAGAATCAAATGAGATAATATTTGTGCAAAGTGCTTGGTATAGTACCTGGAACATAGTAAATGCTATACAAATTCTAGTTATTATTATTACCCTTTCAATGTTAGACTCATGAGTCATATGACAATTTGATTCTTAATTTTTCAAAAATTGAATTTAAGTTTATAAAGGACACTTCTAAGGACAAGAACTTGGCAAACAGAATTTGTACCAATTTCTTTTTGGTATTGATAACTAGCTAGGTGGTGCATTGGATAGAGTGGCAGGGCTGGAGTTGGGAAGACTCATCTTCCTGAGTTCAAATCCAGCCTCAGGTACTTACTAGCTGTGTGACCCTGGGCAAGTCATTTAACCCTGTTTGCCTCAGTTTCCTCTTCTGTAAAATGAGCTGGAGAAGGAAATGTCAAAGCAGTCCAATATCTTTGCCAAGAAAACCCCACATGGTGTCACAAAGTCAGACATGACTGAAACAACTCAACAACAATAGTCACATAGTTCAATGATGTCCTTTATATACCAAGCCACTATAGATGCTAGATAAGTTATGAGTTCATTTCATTGTCTTTTTTTTTTTGGTTAAAATTTTAATAAATAAGTCAAGAGTATGTGGCATTGGATTCTTTGCCATTGTTTGCGTTTTAATATGCTAATTGTTGGTGTATGTTTTACAAGTTATCTTTGTACGGTTCTTTAAATATTTGTTGGGATTGTCTTATTTTCTTGCAACACAGAGTAGTGGATAGAGTGCTAGACTTGGGAGTCAGGAAGACCTGGGTTTTTCTTTCTTGCCTTTTTCATTTATTAGCTCTGTGAGTACTGGCAAGTTATTCCACCTCTCTGTATCTGTTTCCTTATTTATAAAATGGGAACAACCCACAGTGTCTTTAATATATAATAAGCACATTTATATAGCATTTACTATGTGCCAGGCACTGTGCTAAGTACTTTTAAGTCATTATCTTATTTGATCCTCCTGATAATCCTGGGAGGGTTATGCTATTATTATCTCTGTTTTACAGATGAGGAAACAGAGGCAAACAAGGTTTACTTGCCCAAAGTCACTCAGCTAGTGTCTTTGAACTCAAGTCGTCTTGACTCCTAGCCCAGCATTCTATCCACTACTTCACAGGGTTGTTACGAGTTTCAAATGAGATAATGTATACAAAACACTTTGCACACTTTGAAGTGCTATATAAATATCAGTTGTTATCATTATTGCTTTGGGGCATATCTACATACTCATTCCGTTTCTACAGTGTAATTTTATGCTGTAAACTTAATATCAAGTTTTAAAGGAAAGAAAAATTCAAAAGAAACACTCATCCCCTCCCCAAATTTGTAAGTTAGACTTAAAAAAAAGATTTTTGTGAAGCTCAGGTTTAGTGTGGAATACAATGTTGTATATTGATCTGTGTGTGTCTTAAAGAAACAAGAAATTATTGGCAACACACATTCTGTGCTCCAAACACCTAAGAAGATGCACTTGGAGTTTTTCCTCATTACCTTGGATGACTCAAAGGTGATGGGGACTCTCTCCTCTTCCAGCATGCGCCTGGATGCCTTCTGCCAATACATGTAATCGACAAGAGAACGATGATCAAAATTGCCGGTGGGGGGTTTTTCCGTTTGATCTTTCTGAATCATTCCCACAGGGAGTCGGGGGTCCGGAGCCATGACTTCCATCTCTGACTGCAGTTCTCGGAGTTCCTCAGGGGACAAGTTGGCCAGGATTTCATCCTCATCAATATCTTCCCTGAGAGGTTCATCTTGATCAGAATTTTTGCTGTGCTCAGACATCTTTCTAGATGATGGAAGGGAAAGTGAAGAATTGACAAATGAAGCTGATGCCTCAGGGAAGGTTCTCAGGCGATATGACAGTCTCTTTCCTCACCAACTTAAGCAGTTTTTTCTTCCCCCACTCTCTCCTCCCCCAGAACACTAGTCAAAGAGAGACTGAGAGTTTGTCCAGTACTGGACACAAGCTAGTTCTATATTAAGCAGGGCTTGGCTGGAAAGAGTGGATTTATGAGACTATTACTCTCCTCTCTTTTCAGCGACTAGTCAGCTGTGCAAACTCTTCTGACACTTTAGTACAGCTGCTTATGTACACCATTGAGTAACACACTGGAGAGGCCTTTTTTAGGGGACTCCTGAAGGAACAAAACTGAGCTTATAGTTTCACCTATTGATAACCCAAAATACCCAGCATACCCCCTCAAAGCCCCCACACCCCACACACATCCTAGCACAGTTACCAACTAACTAATCTTTCAAGGGTGACTGAGAGTAGATTCATTTTTAATTTAAAGTCAATGCTAAAATAAACTTACATTTGGCTTCCCGTTCTCCTTGGGGAGTTATCCAAGCAGAAAGATGAATTTTGGAGCAGAGCAAAAGGACCCAAAGATGAAACTAGGTAATCCTCAAGTCTTTCAATCAGCTCAGGACATAGCTCGGAGGGCAAGAGCAGCCCAGATGCAGCTGTGTCCAATGTGAGTAGGAGCTTTGTTCTATAATTTACCAGCTGAGTAAGCTGAGACCTTACTAAGTGCTTATTGACATCTACATCCCATGGTCAGTAACACACTGGGTAGCTGCCGGGTCAGAGTCAGTCCTTGAATGAGGACTGTTAAAATGGAATGTCCAATTGGTCTTTGGCAACTGGATCTTGGACTCCATTCTCCCTGTTACCTCGTTACCCCCGATAGCATTAATTCCACCCCTACCCCCCACCCCCAAGCATCAAGAGAAGAAATACAGTTCTCTGAGCACCAGACTATACTCATGGAATAACTGAGGCCTTGGCATGAAAATGGACAACTCATTTTGTCTAAATCTCATTTGCTTCATTTAAACTGGATGCAGAATGATCAGTCAATCAACAACCATTTATTGAACAACTATAATATACTAGATACTACCTTAGGCTCTGGGGATACAACAGCAGAAATGAATGAGCTCTTGCCCTCAATGAGCTTATGTTCTGTCAGTGGAGACAGCATGTACACATAAGTACATGCAAAACAAATACAAGCTACTTTTTGTGAATGGAGACATAAGGAGGTGGAAGAATTAGGAAAGACTCCAAGGAGGAGTAGCACTTAGGCTGAGATTTTATAGAAACTAAGAATTCTCTTTCCTTGTCCATTCATACTTCAGATGGGGTCCATGAATAAAATGTGGCATCTTGTGCTGGTCTTTGCTCTGTCTGGTGTCTGAATTGGAAGGCTAGGTTCCTTGGGACCCTAGACATTCAGCATCAACAGAGATACAATTAGGAATTTGGGGACAAGGGAAAAATACCACAAACATTCTAGAGACAAGTGATATGAAATGAGATGAAGGTTGAAGGAGGGGATGGGGGATACAGAAATCCCAAGAAATTGGCACAAGAGGGCAAGGCTTGAACAGGGCAGGTAAAAAACTTCCCCCAAGTTAACCGTTTGGTAGCTCTCTTTTAATTATCCTTATTAACTAGGCGCTAAGTTCTATTGCTTTGAGCTGCAGTATAGGACTGCTTTCTGAATCCTCTAAATTTAGCATCCTTGGGAAAAACCCTAGTTTTCCAACCCTAGTTATATAGATCTGAATATCAGTGACTCTCATAGGGGAAGCATTTGATAATTATTGTTGTTTGTTAGTGAGCTCCACCTCTGTACCTTTTCTAGATCAGTGAACATTCAAGAGCAGAGCATTCTCACTGTTCTGTAAAGAGAACAGGTCTGCAGGAATGCAGGGCTAATTCACCATTAGGAAAACTATTGGCATAATTGACCATATCAATAACAAAATTAACAGAAATAAAATGATTATCTCAAGAGATGCAGAAAAAGCTTTTGACAAAATACAACACCCATTCCTACTGAAAATACTAGAAAGCATAGGAATAAATGGAGGGGTTTTTTTTGTTTCTGCTGAGGCAATTGGGATTAAGTGACTCCATCAGGGCCACACAGCTAGTAAGTATCAAGTGTCTGAGGTTGGATTTGAACTCAGGTCTTCCTGACTCCAAGGCCAGAGTGCTATCCACTGCACCACCTAGCTGCCCCTAGAGTTTTCTTTAAAAGGATAAGTAGCATCTATCTAAAACCATCAGCAAGCATTGTATGTAATGGGGAGAAGTTAGAAGCATTCCCAATAAGATCGGGGTGAAACGAGGATGTCCACCATCACCACTATTATTTAATATTGTACAAGAATGTTAGCTTTAGCAATAAGAGAAGAAAAAGAATTTGAAGGAATTAGAATAGGCAATGAGGAAATAAAGCTATCATTCTTGGAGATGATGTGGTGGTATACTTAGAGAATCCTAGAGAATCAACTAAAAAACTACTTGAAATAATAAACAACTTCAGCAAAGTTGCGGGCTACAAAATAAATCCACTTAAATCATTGGCATTTATATATAATATTAACAAAGTCCAGCAGTAAGAGATAGAAAGAGAAATTCCATTTAAAATAGCTGTAGACAATATAAAATATTTGGGAGTCTACCTGACAAGACAAACCCAGGAACTATATGAACACAATTACAAAATACTTTTCACACAAATAAAGTCAGATACAAATAATTGAAAAAATAGCAGTTTGCTCATGGGCAGGCTGAGCTAATATAATAAAAATGACAATTCTACTTAAATTAATTTACTTATTCAGTGTTATGCCAATCAAACTATCAAAAAATTATTTTATAGATCTAGAAAAAATAATAACAAAATTCATCTGGAAGAACAAAAGATCCAGAATATCAAGGGAATTAATGAAAAGAAATGCAAGGGAAGGTGGCCTAGCCTTATCAGATCTAAAACTTTATTATAAAGTAGCAATCTCAAAACTATTTGATATTGGCTGAGAAATAGAGTGGTAGATCAGTGGGAATAGGTTAGGTACATAAGACGCAGTAGTTAATGACTAGAGTAATCTACTGTTTGATAAATCCAAAGACTCCAGCTTCTGGGATAAGAACTCACTACTTAATAAAAACTGCTGAGAAAACTGGAAAATAGTGTGGCTTAGAAACTAAGCATAGACCAACATCTTACACCATATACCAAGATAAGGTCAAAATGGGTACATGATTTACACATAAAAGGTGATACCATAAGCAAATTAGGAGAGCAAGGAATTGTTTACCTATCAGATCCATGGAGAAGGGAAGAATTTATGACCAAGCAAGAGATAGAGGACATTATGAAATGCAAAATGGATAATTTTGATTGCATTAAATTAAAAAAGTTTTTGCACAAACAAAGGCAATGCATCCAAGAATAGAAGGAAAACAGAAATCTGGGAAATAATTTTAATGGCCAGTGCCTCTGATAAAGGCCTCATTTCTAAAATATGTAGAGAACTGAGTCACATTTATAAGAATACAAGTCATTCACCAATTGATAAATAGTCAAAGGATATGAACAGGTAGTTTTCAGAGGAAGAAATTAAAGCTATCTACAGTCATATGAAAAAATGTTCTACATCACTATTGATTAGAGAAATGCAAATTAAAACAGCTCTGAGGTTACCACCTCACATCGATCAGACTGGCTATCACGACAAAACAGGAAAATGATAAATGTTGGAGAAGATGTGGGAAAATTGGAAGACTATTGGAGTTGTGAACTGTCCAACCATTCTGGAGAACAATTTGGAACTATGTCCAAAGGGCTATAAAACAGTGCATACCCTTTGATCCAGCAATACCACTACTAGATTTGTATCCCAAAGAGATCATAAAAAAGGGAAAGGATCCATATGTACAAAAATATTTATAGCAGCTCTTTTTGTGGTGGCCAAGAATTAGAAATTGAGGGGATGCCCTTCAATTGGGGGATGACTGAACAAGTTGTGGTATATGAATGTAATGGAATACTATTGTGCTATAAGAAATGATAAGCAGGTGGATTTCAGAAAAGATCTGGAAAGACTTTATGAACTGATACTGAGTGAAGTGAACAGAACCAGGAGAACATTACGCAGTAACAACATTGTGCGATGGCCAACTTTGATAGGCTTAGCTCTTCTCAGCAATACAGTGATCTAAAACAATTCTAAAACACTTGTGATGGAAAATGCTATGCACATGCAGAGAAAGATTATGGGGTCAGAATCCAGATCGAAGCATACTATTTTCTCTTTTTTGTTGTTTTTTTGCTTTGTCTTTCTTGTAGTTTTTCCCTTTTGTTCTGATTTTTCTTTCACAAGATGACTAATGTGGAAATATGTTTAATATGATTGTACATGTATAGCCCATATCAGATTGTTTGCCATCTTGGGGAGGGGGGAGGGGAGGGAGGAAGAAAAAAATTTGAAATTCAAAATCTTATAAAAGTGAATGTTGAAAACTATCTTTACATGTAATTGGAAAAAATAAAACACTTGAGTGGGGAAAAAAGAAAGAAAAAAAAGAGAACAGGTCTGGAAGGTCATTCCAGTGTAAGTCTCCTAAGTCAATAAATTTGGTGTTGAATCCTTACCCATTAAGTTTGAACTTTGGGCTCCGCCCAAGAGTACCTTGTTCATTAATCCATTAAAGGCAGGATAATATAGTGGATAAAGCATTGAACTTGGGGTGAGGAAGACAAGCTCTCAAAGTCCATCTCAGATGCTTCCTTGCCATGTGACCATCTCTGAACATCTCAATTTCTTCATTAAAAGGAGAATGATAATACCCCAGAGGGTTGTTATGAGACTCAAATGGGATAATGTAGGTATAATTCTTTATAAAATTTAAAACTTTATTTTTTAAATCAGAGTAGAGTAGGGGACAGAGAGCTGCCCTCAGACTCAGAAAACCTGCCTCTGATC